ACAATCAATAAATTAATTATAATAAACAGGGTGATAAAAAGTGACAAGTAAACAAATTCCATAATTATGAATATCACGGAATAATCCTCAATATAATTTCCGACAATAAACGGTGTGACCAGGGTGAATAATCCTTTGAGTAGTCTGAATGTGGCACTCAGTTTATTAGTGAATCCCATGTGTAGTTCAGTGAACGCCACGATCCCGGCATACATGGCTGAAAAGCCCAGACACGTGCAAATACTGGCCACCCATAGGCATACCATTGAATACCGGCCCGGAATCAAGAATACTGTACCCGTAAACACAAGCATAATATGTGCGCTTAATATTGTTTTCAATTGAAACCTACATTCAATAAAATAAGTTTTAATTATCAAAATACCTTTTCATTGTATACTATATTAATATTGTATTACTTGTACGGATAGAATATATTCATGACGAGTCCGGCCGAGTAGATGGCTATGGATGTCGAGTATATATTGGTTGCACTTTGAGCCGATAGTCTGAGCGGTGAGTACTGGTAGTAAGTGACCGCAAACTTCATGAACACCGCCTCATAAATGGCATACAAGGAGAAGGTTAACGCAAATAAGAGTCCAATCCATGCGCGCGGGGTATCCTTCGCGTTGAATAACTTTTCAGAAAAGTCTATCACTTTATCGTTATTATCATTATTATTGCCATCATTTGTGGTTTGGTTTTCATGACTCTCATCCTCGTCCTTCTCTTTTGGCATTTTGTATGGCTTTAGACAATACATTATGAACAGAGATATCGGTACTACGAATAAGGAAATATTATGTTAATAATAAAATTAATTAAAAATATAAATTGCAATCAAGAATATTAAAGAAAATTATAATAATAATTTTATAATCTCTTACTGATTATAATACAGGCGCCGATCAGGAATATGGGAAACATGAGTCGCGATCGCCTATCTATCACATCGTTTTCATTAATCCTTAACTCGTTGTCAAAAACCATTGTCTCGTTTTTGGACTCATTGTCCACTTCGCCCACGAGGTATGGCTTCAATGCTTGAGTGCAGAGTACGGAACCGATACCAAAGGACACCGAATGGATCTGTACGATCGGGAACTTAGTGCCCCTCCACAGCTCTATTGTCCATACATTTACAGCACAACCATAAATACTTGAACTGATCCCGATGCAAAATGCACACAAGTATAGCACCCATAGGTGCGGGGAAAGGGGTATTACTGCCGATGAAACGGTTAATAATACGAAAAACGATGCAAACATTAACTGTCTGTTTATGTATTTAAATAATAGCGCAACTGTTATAAAAAAATTCATTAATCATGTTATTATTAATAAATTAAAACATTTTATGATAATTCTTACCGAAAGTTCCCAGAATATAACCACTGGTTTCAAATGTGGTGAACAGTGACACCCATTTCATAGTAGTGTTGAGTATGTATTTCATGTCAAAAAGGACACCGAATGGATCGTACGATCGGCAACTTAGTGCCCCCCCCCCACCCACAGCTCTATTGTCCATACATTTACAACACAACCATATATACTTGAACTGATCCCGATGCAAAATGCACACAAGTATAGCACCCATAGGTGCGGGGAAAGGGGTATTACTGCCGATTAAACGGTTAATAATACGAAAAACGATGTAAACATTAACTGTCTGTTTATATATTTAAATAATAGCGCAACTGTTATGAAAAAATCATTAATCATGTTATTAATAAATTAAAATATTTTATGATAATTCTTACCGAAAGTTCCCACAATATAACCACTGGTTTCAAATGTGATGAACAGTGACACCCATTTCATAGTAGTGTTGAGTATGTATTTCATGTCAACCATAATCGGCGAGTATACGGAATATACCACCATGGCCTATGTTTGTAAAACATAATTTGATAATTTTATATAATTTTTATAATTAATACATACATAAGAAATGTCACTTCGAAACAAAATAGCCGTACATACATAAGTCTATCGGGCTCTTTAGGAATCCCATTATTTTTGTAGATAGAAATATTTAATATGCTAAATCATAATTGGAATTTACTTTTATATATTTTAAATGCACTTGAACCTGTGCACTTGAAATCATGTTTATAAATCTTGATAATTGTCTAGATATACAATATATCTTTTATTTAATATTGACCTAATATCAAATACTACAAATTTACAAGCTTAAACTCCCTTACCATTTAGTTAGCCATATATCGGAGTAATGTAATATACCTGAGATATCAATGTCGACAACAGGGTAATCGTGAACAGTATGGGTCCGGCGCCGGCTGTAAAGTATTCATAGTAGATGTGCCCCCCGATAGAGCCCACCTCCCGGTTCTCCTCCTGAATCCTGGGCTCATGCGAGTAGTCCTCCTCATCGCCCATAATGTCGGAGACTTCGAGGTTCTCGGTCTGAGCCACAGATGTGCTCCGGGAGTGCCTCCGGACCCTGTCGTTGATCGACTCCGTCAGGAGTGTCTCATTAGGGGTTGGGTTCTGTTCCGCATCGTAACTATTTACGGAGAACGGCCTCATGAGCTCCCGTTCCTGTTTGTCGTGTTCGGCCTCCTGTTCCACATCTATCAGTATAGCCATGAAATCGATTCCCTGAAACTGGAGCTCGTCGTATGAGCCCAACCCCAGGCACCGGCCCTCTGAGCTTAAGACCAGTATTTGTGTTGCTTTTCGTATGAATTGGATTTGATGTGTGACTAGAATTCGCATTTTGTCCGACAAGTACTCCACTATACATCTGATGGAAAGGCAGGTTAGAGGACTGGTAGGTGTGTCTCATATCATATGACTATTAATGGCATTACTTATGAAATATATGTTCGGCAACAGAGGTG